GAGTTACAATCTCTATTACGATAGAATATTCATCGATGTATTTTCTTCTCAAGATAAAAGTTGTGAGTCCCATAAAAATGGGACTAACTAATTGCGTCAGGTGGTATCTAGCCATCTGCAGTAGCTATTTAGCATAGCCATCTGCAGCGATTATCTGGCATGGTCATTTGTCATGGTTATCTGGAGTGATTTTCTGGCGAGGCTATTGGTTGTGGCCTTGACAGGTTTTGTTATTAATCATCATTTGCATATATAAGACTTATAATAAACTTCTTGATGTTTGAGTAATCAATGTAGAAGCTACATTATTTTTTAATATCTGGATATGTTTTAAAATATCGATAACTCGATAAAAACATTACTTTCTAAACAAGAAACAAGGAACTTAAGTAACTTCGATCATCGGTTCACTATCGACTCCACTCTAGTGTAACAATGTGTTCAGTTCAAAAGATAAACTGCTTTCCAAACGACCACTTACACTGGGTATATTTAGTACTTTCATAAATTGCGAAGCAATAAAGAGTGTGAAGCTTATATATAAAATAATTGTTAAAGCTAGTATATATTTATTTAAAAGTTGGAAACTAGAAACTACAGCCGCAATGATAGTTGTGACAACGTGATATACATCAACATTTCATTATTCAAACTTCAAAATAAACTTTGATTTTCATTTTGGATCTATTATTGACATAAACAATGCCATTATTATTTCCATAATTCGTCAGATTGTGTATCTCAAGTCATTGCATATCATTCCTTTAATTGTAATGGGGTCAGAAGCTACCCGAATTAAATTTTTTCTTACCGATGTTGTTGGTCTGAGTATTGTGATTACATCAACTTAAAAGGCTATGATCAACTGGCTTTCTATATACTTTATATTTTTATTGGTTTTGTTTACTTAACCCCGAAACAAGATAGATGGATGAGTGGTTTAAAAACATATATAAAAACACATCAGTTTGAATGAATGCAATATACAGAAAATATTTTAGCAGCTTAACCAGATACTGAAGTATGATTTTAAAGCATAAATCATAGATTGAATCCGTATTGCTTTTTCTCATTTACTCCATGATGAAGAAAATATTTACTTAACTTAAGAGTGAATCAGTTTAACTTTAACATACTATATTACATTAAGTAAAAGTACTGCACTTTGGGATGATGCATTTTTTAGTAGTTATTGCTTCGATTAATAAATGATATTTCACTTAAACTGTGTGCGAATTCAACTAAAAGTATTTGCCATATAAAGTAAATAGCAGTTCTCAAGTTATAGTGAAGATTAAACTGAGAATGCATGAAGCACTTCTTCGGTGATGGAATTTCGATTTATTTATATTTCTATCAAAAATAAAACCACTCACTTTACTTAGAATTTGTGAAGTGAAGATACTTTTACTTTAGATATAAATACAAAGTTTATCACTGGAAAAATTAACTTGAATCAGAGAAATAATAACATTTGAGTATTTAATTGTAGTTATTTGGTTAGTTTAAATAGTGACTCTTACTATGGCTCAAATTAGAGTTTTCACACCTCGCCACATCCTCGGTGCTTCTCCTTATAGTACGATTGAACCCACTACGTGTGGCTTAGGAACTTCTGTAATTCATTAATATACATTTTCGCTAGCGCTTCCAGATTGTTAAAGTATGGTTTGCCCAAAGTAGCTTTCATCTGTCTCCAGAGAGCTGAACATCTATAAAGGAAGTTGAGAATTTTTTTGTTTTCCTTCGAGTGTGTCCGCAGCTGTGAGAAAAAGCTTGTTGAGTTACTCATCTGCTCTTCTATAAATAAGCATCAAGTAATTACTGTAGTTTGTCTAAAGATATCCTTTCTATTCTTATTGAGCAGTGTTAAAATTTGCTTCCAATTGTATTTATACCATAATAGACTTCACGCCTTGCACGTTACATGAACTTTTTCAACAACAATCGGCTATTTGGTTATACCTCATTTCAATAGCCCTTTTAACCACATTTAGTAGTGTAAACACAGAATTTCTTGTATGGCAGATCCTTTTATCGCCAGTTCATCCGTTTTTTTCTGTTTCCTTCTATATCAAGTGAGAAGATAGCATGCCCACTTGAGAAGATAATGATTCTCTGAGTTCATATTTATTTGAACTGGAGACATTTGTTATAAGAATCTATAAAAATTATATTAAAATACCTTGATTCTATAATTAAAAATTTGTTCTTAAAAATATTAATATAGAACTATGTAAATCTATATATATTATAATAGTTTTTCGATGAATGATAAAAATATTTCATTGTTGCCATACCAAAAAATTTATCTACTAATAAAACTCTCGTTATATAAATTTTGACAATCAATTGAATAAGAAAATATGTACGAGTATCACGAAATGTGGTTACAAATGTGATTTAAATTAATTTCAATGCATCTTTTATCCTTTATTTTTGAAAATGTTCAGATTCAATTAAGAGTCACTTCAATCGCAATTATAATACTTAATGTAAGAGTACAGAGTACAGAGGGATTTGCAGTTGCCACAATTTACGATAATTCAACCGCAAACCTTTGAATTATTGGTTTATAATATTTGGTATATTAATGCATTTGGATTTGATATTTCTGAATTGATTAAATAATGCAGAATTAGAATAGGCGTTACTGAAACATTAACCTACATGAATTATTTTGTGAAATGTTCTTTTCATAAAAACGCCTAAGACAGTGGTGTCGGAGGCAAGAGTCTATCAAATTAATGCCGAGCACATCGAGCACAAATGGAAAGTGCAAAATATTTACATTAGAAACAAAGCAATTTCCTTGCTGCAAATGGATTTTAATGATTTATGTGAAATTTAACTCGAATCCTTATTATTGCCGACACTCTCAAGCTCACTATCAGATTTGGAGCTTTGTGCCTCTCTGCATGTAGACTCGAAAGTTTGAATTGTTTATTGCCATAAACGCAAATTATTTCATTTGTATGCGGAATTGATTTCAGATAGTTTCGTTTTCACACTCACAAACACTCAAGGATTAGTAGAGTTTGTGAAAAGGACATTATTGGTTTCTGCTGTTAGCTTCAATCATGCAAGGCAAATCCGATAGCTCAATTAATTTGCAGAGCTTTCGGCTATCAAAATCCTTAAATTTTAGAAAAGAGGTTAATGATTGAATGTCGAAAATGGTTTGAATTAAGACCAAAGTTAAATTTCAAAGATGTGTACATGAAGGAAGATTTTTCCTTTAAAGATGCTGTAAAATATTTAGTATATAAAGTGTATTCAAAAGCAACGATGCTATTTCTTATTTGAAAAATGGGATTATAATTATACTCGTATGTATAAGAAGTATTTGGAAATTTAAATGCGAGTAAATAACGATATAAGACTCAATGGGAAATTTACATTTTGGGGGCAAATAAGACATGCAGTAGAGAAAGAGAAAGCAATAAAGGCCACTATCTTCTAGAGTCTTCTTGAGTCTTCAACTAA